TTTATTTTTGGTCCCTTTGGTCTCTGTTACAAATGAAAGCATTTTTCCAAGATTTCCACAATATTTCCCCGTAGCTTTGTCTAATAAAAAAGCTAATTTAATTAAATGAACTCAGGGAATGTAATCAGAATTTTTAACATTTTTAATGTTTATGGCTGCACAGATAAATTGTCCTGTTCGTGGCAGTCTTAACGACAAATGCAATGGCATTTTTTACGAGAAACAGAACTTTGCGTTACAGCGAAACATATTTTCTCAAGTTCCACACAGGGATGGGCAAATTCGTTTTGCACTCACAGCGAAATAGATTTCTGGGCTAGATTCTCAGGATAAACATGGCTTGGCGTTGCTGACAATATTTATCATAATTTCACACGAAGCCAAAGTCAAGTAATGTGCAGGATGTTACGTTATTTTTTATGAAAACGAAGAAGAAATAAAAACAAAATGCCAAAAATGCAATGACAACGAAATGTCACAACATGGATTATGACGATTTTTTATGGTTTCCAAAAGGCAACAAAAAAAAAAAACAAAATGCAATTGCAAGGACAACTGCTGTTTTAGCACGTTTTGTGGTCGGGGAAAAAATGAGTAGCTGAAACGCTGATGAAAAAACAAAAGAAAAAATTGCAAAGTAATAAAACTAAACGGAAAATGTAAAGTTTGTTGCCATTATGCCACGTTTTTTATGACGGTAGCTACTAACAAAACGAACAACAATAATAACTGCAATAATGCATTAAAAGCCAACCGTCTATGATTATTGCAATGTAAGCGCTGACACACCTTTCCATTCCTTGAGGTAGCAAAACAAAAAGTAACCACAAATGTGACACTTTTCCATCCATATTTACCCTTAACATATCAAAATGATGGATTTTTATTAGTTTTCCATAATATCCTTGAATGAATGAATTTCTTTTTATGGCATGGCATTCTTTCTTTAATTCAACTACCAAAACATACGTGGCAATAAACCATTAATCCTTAAAGAACAAAGTATAAACAAATTCATCCCCACCCCTTTTCCAGATGTTAGAAGATGTGTGCAAAAATGTATTCCGTTTAAAGAAAACAACCATAAAATTTGTAATGTTGCAATTATAAAATTGAAAGGATGATGGATAAAAGACATTATCATGAGTTTTTTGGGATGTATGGGATTTTAAGATTTTCGTTGCCTTTTTTTTTTTTTTTTTTGAGAGAGCAATTTAATGCTTTTGGTTGAAAATACATTTTTGAAAATAATTTTTATATTTCTCATTTTTGTAATTTTTTATCACATAGAGAAAAAATTAGTATACAGGGTTACCCATATTCGACGGACCCATCTGGCAACGCCATAACTTTTGACAGAGATTTCACATCGCTTAATGACATACCGCGTTTGAAGCGTCAGTACAAGCAGATTTTTACCATGAACCAATACACGCCACGCGAGTGCTCTGAAATAGTTGAAATTAACATTTAACAGAAGAAGTCAATTGTGAAAACTCAACGTGCTTTTAAAACATTAAAAAATGTGAGAAGTGCGCCTTCTAAGAACACCATTAAGCGTTTATACGAAAAGATTTCGACTGGTAAGATTTTCAACGTGGAAAAATATTGTTTAAAGAAAATTCGAACCTAATCATCAGTGACATCTTCACATAAAAAACTATATACAGGGTGAGAAAAAAACTACAACAAAGTCAAACGCCATAATGTTTATATTTTTTATACCCTGAGCCATATGACTAGAGAGGGTATATATCGCTCAACCGGAAACCTGAGATGAAAATGGAATTTATAAATTGGATATAAATGTTAGATTTTTTTGTAATTTTACCCATACCAATATTTTTGTTGTATTAGATGAAGCATGAAAATGGAACACTTCTGTCGACTATATCTGGTACCTCACGCATATGTTTACATTTTCTAAAAAATTATTACATATCTCATTTAAAGTGAACGAAGTTAACAATATAGTCCAAACCTGGGACGCCGCACTACATATATCATATTTATTTAGGTCCAATACGAAATGGACAATATTGGCCCATTCTTTGAAAACCCACTCCATAGAGGAGAGTTTGAATAATCATAACAGAAGTCAAAATATTTTTAAATAATCGAACATTGGCTGAGGGAATACATCTGTCGGCAAAACCGACTGATGTTTTCTAACTCGTTTTTTTTAAAGAAAGCAAAAAATGTCGGAAATAGCATCAAATTTTAGAATAAGTTTATATTTGTTCGAAGTTGTCAGCTTTGGCACGAATTATGGCCTTCAAACGCCCAATGAAGCCACACGCTGGGTATTTTGGCCCTTTCTTGGCGAAGCACTTGCTTGAGGTTATCGACACTTTGGTATATTTAGTGCCAACTTTGCTTTCCAAAATACTTCGGACACAATAGTCCAACGGATTTTAAAATATTGGTGGCCATTGTGCGCTGGAAATAAAGCGAGGAACCTCATTTTGCAAACATTCTTGCGTGGAGCGTACTAAGTGTGATGGTGCTGAGTTCTGTTGGAATGTCCAAGGTCTGCAGTCAAAATATTTGCGTGCCCAAGGCTTTAATACACCCTCCAGAATATTTTAGCGATAATATTCGGCATTTATTCTGATGCCACGGTCGATTAATACGAGCCCGAGAGCGACACACCACACCATCACCATGGCCTGCGCTTGAGTTCTGCTGGCCAACCGAGGGTGCACATTTTCAGCTGACCTCTTTGGCAAATAGACACGATCATTTTGTTTGTTTACAAACTGCTGGACAACGAATGTTTTTTCATCGTAGAAAACCAAATTCGGCAGTTCACCACCAAGCGAAGCAACTCTGTAAATTGTTTTAGTTTTTTTTTCTGTTGCGCGTAAGTTCTAGCACTTTTTGGAATTTCAATAGCTTTACCTTGAACTCAATTCTCAATATTTGCCGAATGGAATATAGCGATATGTTCAGCTCACGAGCCATTTTTCGGCACATTGAAACCCGCGTCAATCAAGTCGTTTCTTTACTTTTCGAACCATTTCTGTTGATGTTGCAGTTTTCTTCCGTCCACTTCTTGACGTTGGGCCAGCAGTAGCAGGATAACGAGACAAAAAAAAATTATTCACATTTAGTGCTCTAACGATAGCCACTTGTTTTTTTTTTTCAGCCAAATATAAAGAAATCACACTATCACGCTTGAATTCCATCACGAATAACTTTTTTTCTGGAAAATTCTCGCCAAAATGGTTTTTTACGCTTGTAAATGAGCTGTCACTGGCATAATTTTAACAGCTGTCGGACAAGTGGCTTAGAAATGACAGCAGTCTGAATTTGGTTCCAGTTTTTTCCTCTCACCCTGAATTTGTGATTTCGCCGAGATCAAAAATATTCGCGGTTTAGTGGATATTTTTGGTTTTTCTTATATTAAATTTGTGGTCTATTTTACCTCCCAAATATTGTCCGATGATCATTTAAATTGGTAGGCTTCTGCCCAGTTCTAAACTCTACACTCATGCTAAATTCCGCGTCAATAATTGCGACCTGTAGAGCTACTGCAAAATCAGGAAGGGTTTTTGGCCCAATCGAACTTATAATACCCCAACACATAGGGTTGTAGGATATAAAAATCGGGTGGGGTACCGTTTTATGGGGGCAATATCAAAGCATATACTTCTATGGCCCATTTTCAATACATAAGATTCGGCCATAAAATACTTAAAGAAAAAAATATTTTAAATTTTATATTAATTTTATAGATCTTTGGAAGCTACAGATGAATATTGGAGACTTTTACAGATGGATATTTAGACGGGCGGACTTTTCTAAATCGACATAGAATGTTTTGCTGTAGTCTAAAATGTGTTTTTTATGGGTTTTAAAAGGAATGACAAACCTAATGTATCCTCCATGGTATGGTGGAGGTTATAACATATTGTTCACAATTTTTATTGGTGTGAAGGTAAAATACATATTTTTGTGTGCATTATTTAATTATTATGAAATTAAGCCATAAAACTGACATTATTCACCGTAATTACCCTTAACATTGCCTTGTCCGCTACGCTACAATATACCCTATATGGTCATGCACAACGTACTATATTTCTGTGTAATACCCCTTCATTAAAAAATGTTTTTTTTTTTATTTTTAAAACAAAGCTATTTAAAAAACTCTTATTGTGGTAAATATTATTAATATATTTATAATTGTCATTTAAACAAAAATACACCTCAAACAATGATGGCTGCAACAATATTATGTAGTTGGTAAAGGCAATTTCATATTTTTATTATTATATCTAGATATAATGTGCATGCATCTCCTTTTCTCTCTTTTTGCGGAAGTGAAAAAGCTCAGACGTTTTTTCCATTGTTTTATTTATGACTTGTCGACGAAAGATGTATGACAAAGTTCCTTATTTTTTTTTATTATTTGTTTTTGTTTTAATTGCAGAAAAAACGACAATTCTCAACATCATTGTTGTTGTACTCAATGAATATTTGGAATGAGGCCAATGACGAGGGCTGGCTACCACAAAAGGGGATTCATTGATAGCTACCTCATGTGAACATATCAGAATAAAGTTTATATGGGAAATCGGAGGTGATGTTAGTCATGGTTTTTGAATAAGAGAAAAATAATAATAATTTATTTCTTGACCTTAGACAATAAAATCAGGATAAAATTTTTTCCTATCTAAAAATTATTTGTCCATTTTAATATTATTATTATTATTATGATTATTATTATTATGATTATTATTATTTTATTTTTTTTCCTATCTAAAAATTATTTGTCCATTTTAATATTATTATGTTTATTATTATTATTATGATTATTATTATTTTATTTTATTTATTTATTTATTTTTTTGGAAAAAGACTCTTATTTTTAAAATTGTAATTATAAACCTAATATCCCCCATATCATTGTACCCTCTTTTAATATCAAATAAAATAAAAAACATCAATTGAAATTTTTCTTTGTTTATAAAAATTTGTATTTTATTTGTGTCGTTTTTGTAATTGTATTATTATTTCTCATTCATATTAAAACTAAAATTCATATTAATAATAATAGAAACAAAAATTGATACAATTTTTGTTTGTTTAGGCGAAATCTTGGTTTTTTCCTTTGTTTAAAACTAAAATAATGCTTAAAAACTATATATTACATAATGTTTTAATTTTAATTTAAGTGGGGGCGGTGAGGGGGTGAAATTCAAAAATTTACAAAAAATAATCATTAAAGAAAAGACTTTCAATTTTTTACCATTACAAAAAAAAAAAAAAAAAATAAAACTCAGAAAAATAACAACGAAAATTCTTATCACAATCGCTTTGATGAGTTTTGGGAAAATATTTAAATTTATGGAGATATACAAAATAGAAGAAAATCAAAATTATTTATCAATTATCAGATAATCATGGGATTTTTCTAAAAATATTTGAAAAAAAAAGCTTTTTTTATATTGAATTTCGTTGTTTTAGCCGACGGGTTGTTTTCTTTTTGTGGTTTTGAAAATAATTTTCTTAAAATTGGTTTTTGTACTATGGCATCTTTGTTGGTAGGCTTGGCTGGCTGGCTGGATCTTTGAATTTCCCCCACTGCTTTTGGTTAGGTTTAGTAATGATGGGGTTGTTTATTTCTTGGATGATTTGTCTGACTGTTGGGCAGCACTGCTGCAGCTACGCCCCAATATGGATGGAGTGGCTTGAAGATATTGTCTCAACACATCATAGACCACCGAGGCCACATAACGCCAATGGGCCTCACGCATTGCCAAAATTTGTTGCTCCTGCTGACGGGCCTTACGCATTAGAGCGGCTTGATCGGGTATATAGAAAGCCACGGCCATTTTGCTGCTTTGGTTTGTTGTTCTTTGTTTTTTTTACAAATAAAAACTGATTTCTTTGAATTACACAATTTCTTGTAATTAGTTGTAGTCTTTTTCTTTTAGGCTTTGCACTTTGCTTTAAGTCTTTGTGGTATTTTTTTCTTTCGATTTCTTTATTTTTTTGATGATTCAATGTTTTTCTTGTAAAAAATCTCGTTTTATTTTTTCACAAATTATAAAATTTGAAATGTATGTCTTTTTTATCGAATTGCTTTGTTAGGAACGCACAACCTTTGGATTTGATGGTTGAATGGGAACTGATTTAATTGTGCAACTCAGAGCGCCTTTTATACGTTACTTGCTCTTTGTGCTCACACAAACTCTCAAAATCACCTACATTAAGGGTTTTTTACCGTAAAACTCATGCACTCTCGCTGTTGTGTGCAGTGTTGCCGTTTTGGGCGTTTCCGTCCAAATTTGGGCGGAAAAAAGATTAATTTTGTGGTTTGGGCGGATTTTGGGCGGATTTTTTCCATATTGAGTACAAATTTATTTTTCATTGTTTATTTTTAGGTAATTTAATTTTTTTTATTACTAACTGAATTTTATACTTTTTTTATTGAGATGAATCGTTTTTTATTTTATAGATTTTTGTTAAGTTTTTTTTTTAATAATATATATAATACATTAGGCTATAGTCGTGCGGGGCCGACCATGTGATACCCTACAACACTACAATATGTTAGAAGCCCCCTCATGTCCAAATCTATTTTGGAAGATTTCGCTTTTGAAATTGTCACGGAGCACTGCCCAGATATTACCCTTAGCATTTTGACCAGGGACATTCTCCGAATATTTATGCTCTCCGTCGTGCTGTTAGTTTTTGTGGTCCATTTTACGGCTAAATATATTCCAATGGTCATCCAAAATGCCAGAATTCTTCCCTGTGCTTGCCGATCTTCTCAGGCGTGTCGATTGTCTTCAATTGTGTGATCAGGAATTTTTTTTTTCTGTTTTTGGTTCATGTAAACCCCTAGATATTTTCCGATCATCTCTAAAAGCAAGAGGCCCCTCTGTGTCTCCGATATCCGTGTCTACGATATTTGGTCTACGAAATATTCGTCAACGAAATCAGCATTGTGTATCGCCTGTAAGTAATGTTGGTATTTTTTTACACAAAAGTAGTGGTCCATTCTACCCGCTGTCCTAAGCTCTAACTTCATGCGAAATTTCGTGTCCTTAGGTTTATATTTGGGACCTTTATAACGGCTGCAAAATCAAGAACATTTTGAATTGCTGGTCCATTTCAACCCCTAAATATATTGCGGACATCTTTGAAAACAATAGGCTAAGCCCTTCTGAGCCTAACCCTACCTTTGTGAAAAATTTCATGAGGATGGAACGATAATTGCAATCTGTATATAAATAATAACCCTAACCTGTGTCGTAAAGTGAAAAAAATATTACAAAACAAATACTTCAATATTATAAGTCAATTTTAAAAAAAAATAGCATGCGACAAAAATATGAAAAAATAAATAAAATGTCACAAAATACTACAAAATCTATATGAACATCATTATTGGTATCTTTTTATGTGATTTTTTAGTATTTATACTTTAATGCCCCAAGGGCATTCTAAATTGACAAAATTTGTCAAAATCGCTCAAGCCATTCTGAAGATATAAGCATTCTAGTTGACATCCCCTTCCTTTGTATATATACATTGTATATATTTCTCTATATATATCCGATATTTTTACTATCGGCATCTACGTAACGGTCAGAATTGACCTGTTCGTCTATTTGTGATTTCGCCGGCAGTAAACATATTCGCGGATTAATGGAAAAAATTGACTTTTATTCATCGCAAATGCTATGGTCTACTAAACCACTAAATATTACCCGATGACCATCAAAATTGGAAGGCTTCTGCCCAGTCCAAAGCTCTAGCCCCATGCTAAATTTCGATTGGTCTATGATTGTGACCTGTAGAGCAACTGCAAAATCAGGAAATTTTTCAGTTGTTGGTCCAATTTAACCCCTAAATATTATGCGATCATCTCCAAAAGAAGTAGGGTTCTATTCTGACCTTAACCCCAGCTACAGACGGACAGACGGACATACATAGCTAGATCGACTCAGCTCGGCGAGATAGGAAGATCCATATATACTTTCCTATGTGGGAAACCAATATTTCGTGGTGTTACATAATTTTTGGCCCAATGAAAGTTATAATACCCCCAACACAAATTTTATTTTCTCTAATGTATTTAATACATTGAATGTAATAAAACTTGAGTACCTTTTTTATGTATAGTGTAAGATTTTCAATAAAATTCAACTACATATAAATTATTCAACTTTTTACAGTTTGGGCGGATATGGTCGATTTTGGGCGGTTTTTAGAAAAAAATTGGGCTGAAATAAAAATTTCAAACGGCAACACTGGTTGTGTGTGCATGCAAAGAGAGAGAGAGAGAGAGAATTATCAAAGGAGAGCGAGAAAATACAACAGTTTTTCTCTGCGTGCTTCGTGAAATACCGTTGTTTTCGAACAACGAACGAGCGCACGATGATGGCCCGCCAAAAAACACATTTGTTTACGATTCTTGGCAGGGGGCTTGTTTTTACTATTTTGTTGACATCGCTCTTTCGCATTCGAGTCTTACTTCGAAACATTGGCTGGCTAGCAGTCTGTCTGTCGGCGTAGTAAAAACGTTGAGGCCTGCCAGTGCCGCAACAGAACGTGCGGCTTGTTTTGGTTTTTTTCTTCCTCGTTTGAGGCCATTAACTAAGGGTGCCAAAGTTACAGGTCGTTGAGCTATTTTTATGCCAGACATGGCAACAGTTTATGAAGGAGAGGGGAAAAAGGGGAGCCCAACTTCCATGACTTGCCTAAAAACGTTGTCTTGGGAGACAAATGGCTTTCTTGTGCCTGTGAGAAGTTTTCATCCCCTAAGACTACGTTTCTTAAGAATTTGTTTTTTTTTTCTTTTGTGGCCATAATGTCTTGAGGTTGTAGCTTCCTTTTTGGCGCCAATTTTATGTGTTTTTTACAAATCATGGTAGGTAGTTACAACAACGCTGTTGCCAATTTGGCCTAAGGGTGGTTTTTGCCCTCCAAATTGCCTGTCTGGCTGTCCTTAACATCCTTAGAACTGCTTTGTGGCAACAACGCACACATTGTTGTGTTTTTTTTTTATGTTTTACTTCCTTATGGGTAGATTACTGGTTCAGGATGATTTCAGAAATGGGCGGAGTTTTAGAATTTCCTTGATTTTCGTTGTTGCTGTTGCTATTATTCTTTGGTGTCTTTTTCAAACCTTAACAATTCCTATTTACTTTCTCTTTTTGGCCCTTTTGCATAAGGTAGCTTGGTATGTGGTTTTCAAATATTTCCCGGCTTCTTGTGACGACCACAAAACTGGGAGGAGCCAAGCATAAGTATTTATGTAGGTATGTTGCTATGTTGTCTTTTTTTTCTGCCTTGATATTTATACCCTACACCACAAGGTGGTCAGGGTATTATGTCTTTGTGCATTTGTTTGTAACAGGCAGAAGGAAACGAGATAGACCCATAGTTCCTTTTGATGATCTGCATAGAATCACATTCTGAGTCGATTTATGCATGTCCGTCCGTCCGTCTGTCCGTCCGTCCGTCCGTCTGTCCGTCCGTCCGTCCGTCCGTCCGTCTGTCCATGTATTTTTGTAAACAATGTACAGGTCGCATTTATTGCCCGATCCACATGAAATTTTGCACAGATCATTTGTTTGGCCCAAGGACGAACCCTATTGAAATTGGAAATAATCGGTAAAAATTTAGATATAGCTCCCATATATATCTTCGTCCGATTTGCTTTTTATTGTGCACCAAACGTGTAATATCAGTCCGAATTGTATGGAATTTTGCATATACACCCAAATTAGGTCTGAAAATATGTATGCCAAATTTGATTGAAATCGGTTCAGATATAGCTATAGCTCCCATATATATTGTTCATCCGATTTGTTATTTTTGTCCACCGCCGCCGTAATATGCACTCTGCAACAACAATACTTGGGGAAATATATCAAATGCAGCTCAGAAATACACTTGCTAAATTTTATCGGGATCGGTTCAGATTTGGATATAGCTCCCATATATAACTTCGTCCGATTTACCTTTGATTGTGCACCAAACGTCTAATATTTGTCCAAATGGGATGGAATTTGGCACTTACGACCGAATCGGGTCTAGAAGGTAGTATGTCAAATTTAGTGAAGATCGGTTCAGATATAGCTATAGCTCCCATATATATTGTTCATCCGATTTGTCATATTTGTTACCCACAGCCGTAGTATGCATTCCGTAACAACGATATTCAGGGAAATATATCAAATACAGCTCAGAAATATCTTTGCCAAATTTTATCGAGATCGGTTCAGATTTGGATATAGCTCCCATATATATCTTTATCCGATTTCAAATTAATTGTGCACCAAATGGGCAATACAATTCCGAATTTAAAAGATACAAATGCTTCGGCATATTTAGTCCTTTGAACTTTAAATTATAATTATAATCATGGCGTGTATGTTTGAATTCTCCCATAAAAACTTTTATTTGTTATGTGGAGCTCTACTAAATTAGCAAAGTGGTGTAGGGTATCATAAAGTCGGCCCCGCCCGACTTTAAGACTTTCTTTACTGGTTTTTATTATCTTTATGTTTTTCATATGGAAAGGTTTGCCATAGACCATGACCGTATTTCTTTCACATCATTGTAAAGCTTTAGCAGTGGCAGCATGGCTTGTGTATGGTACCTGCTTTGGATGGTCGTTGATGATGATTCATCATCCAACTGGGTGGAGTTTCAGTTGGTATCTTTTTTTCTTGAGTTTCATTACATTCCGTTTTTTTTCTATTTTGTGAAACTTTGATGTTTTGTGATTTGTAGAATCTTAGCCAAGATGGCTGACATTCTGGAATACACATTGTTACATAGCTATGTCGATATGTAAAAGGTACTATAGTGGGTACATATACAATTCTAACAACGGGGGCGTCTTTCCTATTCATTCAGCCATTATAATGATTTATTAAAATTAATGTTCCTGTTTTATTTCAGCGTCTTTTTTTTTTTTTTGAGTCATACAGGGAGTCTACCGAAATTGTCATAGTTGAGGGTATTTTTTTCTATCTATAGATATAGAAAAGCAACATTTTTAAATAATATAGGAATATAAAATACCTATATTAAAAAAAAACATTTAGCGGGATTTACTTTTTAAATACCGACATACCGGAATGTGGAAAAAATACTTTGAAAGG